GTCTGCAGCGCCGTCGCCGTCTGCTCGTCGTGCCGCCTGTTGACGTCGGCGCCGTGCTCGACCAGCAGCTGCATCATGTCGAGCCGCCGGGCCTTGACCGCCACGTGCAGCGCCGTGCCGTCCGCGCACTCGTGGTTCGCGTCGCTCTTGGCTGCAAGCAGCTCCTGCACGCACCCCAACGCCCCTTCGTGGATCGCCAGGTGCAGCGGCGGCCACGTCTCGCCGTTGTCGGGGCTCGTCTCCGTCTGCGCCCCGTGTTGCAGCAGCAGGCGCACTGCGGCCTGCGCCCCGACGCTGCACGCACTGCTGAGGGCTATGCTGTCGTCTGCGCTCGCCTGAGCCCCCTTCTCGAGCAGCAGCCGGACCATCTCGGCACTTCCCCGCTGCGCCGCCGCATTCAGCACCGAGCCGTTGTGCTCGTCGCGCGACGTCACCAGGCTGGCATCGTGCTGAGCCAGCAGCTTCAACACCCCAGCGTGCCCGTTGCGTGCTGCCAGATACAGCGCGCATTGCCCAAACGGCGCTCCCTCGCGCCCGCTCAGGTCGGCACCCTCGTCCATCAGAGCCTGCACAACCTTGGCATGGCCATTCCATGCCGCCCGCCGCACCACAACAGCCGGCCATGTAAAGCCGGGCACTGTCGTCTTGCCAATGTGCGACACGACCTCCGCAAGCACATGCTCGTCTCCCCCCGAGCAGCCTGCTTCGAGCACGTACTCGGCCGCTGCCTGGTCCAGCGCCACCGACTGCAGCAAGTGAAGCGCCAAACTGCCATGTCTGTTTCTTGCCGCCTCAGCCACAGCATACGGAAGCCACAGCTTTTGCTCGGCTGCCAACATGTTGTTGTCTTGTATCCATCGCTCATATACATCCTCAAGGCCCATGGAAGCCACGAGCGGCAGCGGGCAGAGATAGCTGCGATCTGCCCGAGAAAACGGGTTCGACATGAACCAATGTGCCATCTGCCAACGCCCAAAAGCCGCCTTGCTCTTGAAAAACTCAACCACCTGCCCTATCAAACGACTCTTGTTGGATGCAAGACAGTAATGCCGATGCCAATAGCACGCAGCGTAAGTGGCCACATCCACCCGCGGTCGGACGCGTGGTGTCGACAGAATGCCATGCCGAACCTCGCATAGTGTGTTCAAAGCAGCTTGCGCGCCAGTGGTGCCGAGGAACCCAAGGCAGACTTCTGCCATCATCTCGTGTGCAGTCGCTTGGACGTAATACCACTCCTCCTTGTCACACTGGAGAATCAGATTCTTCAGCCCTGCATGTTGGAAGCGCATCTCCTGCGGGTTGGAGAAATCAAAGATTGGGATGCCAATCAGCGTATTCATTGCCCCTACACCATCTGCATCTTGGATTTGTTCGGACATGCCAAGTACTGAGCACAGTTCGCCCATACTAAGAGGCCGAAAGGCAAATACAAGCCAGGTAATGGCCCTGGCTACAAGACTGCGCTTGGCTTCCGGTATGGCATCCATAGTCTTCCGGAAAAGAAATTCCAAATTCACTTCCGGAAGCCTTTCCAGGGCATCAGTGAGAGCATCCAAAGATGGGCTGTTCTGCACATCTTGCACGAGTAGCCGGGTGAGACCAATATCATTGCCACATTTCCTCAAAAGTTCGTCTCGGTATCTCCCAATTGGTAGTGTTGATGCGTACCTGGCATCGAGCTGATGCAACCTGTAGTCAACCTCATCCCTGACACAGGCATCGACATCTTCCGGTGAAAATTCATCCTCGAGTACAATTGTCGGTGCGCCCTTTAGCCACTCATCTAGCGAGTCTGTCGACTTGGTCATGATCAGGAATTTCCATCGCTTCTCCCGTGATTCGGTCATTTCGGCTGCCAAGCGCCAGAACGAGGAGAGCTTGTCTGAACATTCGTCCAGGTTGTCAAGCACAAATACCGTTTCTCCACTGCTGTAGAAGTATCGAATCCTGCTCAATGACAAGAGCAAGTCGTTCTCACTAAGAGTGCGCTGTGCTAGAAAGCGAGACATGTCGCTTTCAAAGTCAAAGCCAGACTTGAGAACCTTGTCGGACCTTACCCACTGTGCAGCTGTGGTCAAAAGGAATGCCCATGTATCCTTGTAACGATCGTCACCCTCGTCAAATGAGAAGTAGTTCCACAGGCTATCAATCCTGGAATGCAGTATCATCTCTTCGAAGAGCAATCCAGACCGCCATGACCTCGGGCCCTGTCCATGGACAATCAAAACATTGGATCCAGTACTCTCCCGCCAGTCAATGTATTGTTGATTATTGGCCAGAGGGTTTCTCTGATGCTGATTGGTAAGCACTGGTCGGACTGGGGGCGCCTGTGCCACGAGGGCATTCATATATGAAGACTCCTCTGCTCGCTCCACCACTCCCTGATCTGATGAATGTCAGTTCAAACACCGGCATAAGGCCCCTTACAAAAGCAATGCTGATTCACCTTACCTAGCTTAACAACATCTTTGAACGCTTCAAAATTTGATTTCAGTTCCAAAATCTGCTCTGCGCATGCTAAAGCCGCATGGGGCTGGGGGAATTCGCGCTGATGTACAAACCCAGTCCGGAGTGTCGCATCAAATTCATTGAAAATCTACAAGATGCAAAGAGTTAGGTCAAGGTCATTTCACCTATGCTGTGAGTCTTGTATCTTACGCATTCCCCAAGGTCCGTGAGAGTAGATACAACGCTGAGGATATCTGTGCTTAGAAGAATCTTGGACTCCACGAAGGCTAGGTTGCATTCGATGACGGCCCTTGCGAGGCTTTTGACATGAAGCAGCGAATTTCCCTTGGGTAATTTTGAACCCGAGAACAAAAGCCGCGCAATCTTCTCTTCCATGTCCAAGACGCTATGCCATCTGTGTGGGCAGCCGATGAATATCTAAGTCGCGGTAGTTAGCCAAGTACCATGAAATCGATTGGCCACAAAGGGTTGAAATACAATCCATTTGGTCGACTCTGCGATGTCGGCATATTGCGGATCCAAGACGGATTGATACAAAGCCTAGAAGCAGTCATTTGGCTGACACTTGCCATGTGAAGGGCCTTTTGTTACTTGTTTGACAATCGTGCCTCCGATATCATGGCACACGAAGACTATCGGCCGGAACGAATCCTATAAGGAGATGATCAATAAGTGCGCACCTGCGTCCCTCTCCCTCTCCCTCTCAGAAAAGGTATATACCTCATCTTTCTCATGCCTTGCCTCTGCAACCGCACGCAGCAATTTTGATGCCTCTTTAGTGATAACCTCTTTCGAGAGCGTCTTGAAAGCATCGTAACCATAATTCATCAAACGGATGCACAGTTCGTACTTCCAGTCCTCTATTCCACGGACCATCTCTCGCTTCGATTCGTCACGCGCTTGCCAAGTTGTCTCGCGGTGGCCGTGAAGTCCATGGATGGTTACAACGCTACTTGGTCAGAACATGGACTTGCGCCCATCATGCACACACTTTCCCAGATTGACCTACTCGAAATATCCCGGAAACATATAATCTTCCTTGCCCTGAAGCCCATAGTCGCCGCTGCTTCCCTCCTCCGCGACGACTGGGTCCATTACATCTGCAATGCTGCTCCGCCGCCCGTTGGCATCGGTGCCTGGCGCGAGGTCAACGTCTTCAGCAGGAGACGTATCATGCTCGTCGCTTGTTGATGATGATGATGATGATGATGATGATGATGATGATGATGTTGCCGCCGAGGAATGGCTATCATCATCTGATGCGATGCTGGGCATCTTCTCTCCCCAATCCCGATTTCGCGCGCAGAATGAGAGTCGGTCCAACAGGCGTGATTATGCTGGAAATCGCAACAGCGAAGCGCGAAGCGAAGGGCTGATGTGGACCTCCAGGCTCAAAATTTTGTCACTTGGTAGCAATCATGCGTAAAATATGCAGTGCAGCCACGTTTACATGGGCGGAGTCTTGATTACATCCAGTCATGCCTAGGTGGGGTCCGTCGGGGGCGGAAACTCGGCAGCGTGTGATGCATATGCATGATCCAGCTGAACCCACAGCCCACTCCTCCAGGTACTTCGAATTCGGCCGATAACTGAAATACGTGCTCGTATCCTGGGGATTGCGCTGCGGGTATACGTGGGCATATTGTAGGTAATAATCTTGGATTCGAAATTGTATGAGAAAGTGGTCATGTAAGTAATCGATAATTCAACATCCACGCCCACTTCGAATGCGTAAAGTGGGCATAGAATCATTATCTAGTAGGTGATACAAAGAAATTTTCGACTAATGTACCGGCACATCTCAACTAGGTTACTGCTGATGCCCCAAGCTGTGGCTCCTGACAACGCCCCCCCACCCCCACCCCCCCCCACTTTCAGTACGATATGTACTCTATACACCGATTTCGGATCCCTGACTTGCTTTTTATTGCATGAAGCTTGAACTACCGTCTTCAAATGTCCACGGTCACTGTTAATTACACAGATGGTATATGGGACCTGCTGCTGATAGGTGTTGTGTGAAAACATTTCAGTGCCATTACCAATTAATAAAATAAGAAGTATGTTAGTTATGCTCATGATTTAAACGATAACCTAGTTGCGAGTGATCATGGTGAATTTATATTCAGTATTTATGTTTGATCTGTGTGTCAAGCCATCCTAAATATGCTTTACTGCAGAGTCCAGGACGGTTTGGAAAGTCACGCCCGAGAGACTGCCGAGGTCCACAGATCCAAGTGCGGTGAGATCATACATCTGTAATTTGTTGGTAGGAGGCAGCTGTGGATCAAAGAGCAGAGGATCATCTTTGGGTCGTCCTCCAAACAGCCTTTGAAAGCTCCTCTCTATAGAACTCTTAGGATCAACCTTGGCTTCTATCTTGAAATCGCAGCGAAAAGGTTTCTCGTCCTGCCTTTTCAACAAGATTGCTGTGCGCATCGTTGACGGTACGCCGGTCTTGGTAGTACTGTTCTCAATAAGTGACCAAGATGCGCTGTCAGCGTTCCCATAAGTCCTTCCTAAAAGATCAATTGAACCGATCACTCTTGTCGCATCTGTGGTTTCTCGGTTGACGCTGCGTTCCCAGCCCAAGTCCACCCCCAACTCTACACCAGCAAGCGGAGGCGCCCCCAGATTGACGCCGGCCATGATTTTCTTCTCTTCTGTCTGCATCGTCTGGACCATGACCATACTATCGAAGGGTGTGATCTGAAACACTTCGGGCTCGGGGTCACCGGGTTGCTCAGGTGCAAACTGGAGGGTGATGTTCACGGCCAAAATGCGCCTTGCTGTCTTGCGGCTGTCGAACCGAAAGTTGAGAACAATAATGGTCGCAAATTCGTCGGCATCGGGGCTCATGAGGCCGTGAATTACGTCCAGACAGGCGCAGCGGATGTCCAGTGCCCCTTTACGCTCGGTAACGTTGGCACGCTGGTAAGGTGCTGACGGGTCGTTTCTGGTGCGAAATGAGCTGCCTTCATCGCCGCCAGGATTCAGCATGATATCAAAAACGTCATCATCGTCGTCGTCGCCGTCGCCGTCGCCGTCATTCTCGTACTCTTCTTCTGTTTGCACGAGGTCGTTGTTGGAAACTTCTGCCATAATCGCGTCAAGATGCTTTTGAAGGCCAAGGCTCCCTTGAGAAAGAATTCAAACGGTTTTCTAGATATACCCATTAGTGGCAATACAACTATACTTACAAAGGAAGCTGTGCGGTGTGGGGGCCATTTCTCAGTCATGAATCTTGTCACGCCGGCTATTCCCCATTTCGAGAATTGCCCCGCCGCTAAAGCGTAAGCACAATTTTGGCAGTAGTTTCGCCTGCTGCCTGCATAGAGCCAAGCTCTGCCGTGCGCAATCTAATGTATGCGTGCACCCATCTCCCACCCATCTATCTGCTTGCCATTCGGATAGCAAAACTTTGTTCATACCAGGCTGCATCCTGCCCGTCATGGAAAGCACACGCCTACAAGACCCCGATGAGTTGGAGATAGCGGAGGAACATGACACTGATAAGGCTGCCGAAAGCGAAACTGACAAGGAAGGGGACTCCAGTGAGTCGGGAAGTGAGGATGAAGAAGACCATGAACAAGACATCAAAGTTCAATTCGAGCGCATCATCGCCGGCTTCAGGGAGGGCCAGCTGAACATCAAAACCATCACCAGCAAGCCAGATGAATACGACTACCTTGACCAAAGGACAAACGATCACAATCCGAGGAATCTCTTGCACATGATTGTAGAGGCAGGAAAGGACAGCGCGAGTGCGCTGAAGCCGCTCGTGGAACATGTGATCAAGCAGCATTGTCACCTCATGGAAGAGACGGACGGTGCTGGCACCACGCCGCTGCAGGCGGCCATCATAGGCGGCATCACTAAACTCGTGGAGTACATGTGTGATGCCTATAACGCCAAGGGGAATATCGATGTCGTTCTGGCGCTTCTGGACTCAAAGAATAACAATTGCCTTCACAAAGCCATGCTGAGCAAGCACAAATATGCGCGCAGAATTGCCCTCAAGCTCATCAAGCGAGTACGCAATCCTAAGACGCTGGAGGCCCAGAACAACGAATTCAAAACCCCGCTTCACATTGCTGTTGAGTGGGACCGCTGCACAGAATCGCAAATGGACGTCGTGCGAGCACTAGTGACCGCTTGCGACGCTGCTCTGAACGTCAACGTGGGCGCCGACGTCGATCCGTGTCGACTCTCAGTGTATCGATACCACGAGAAGACGAGACAAGCAGCGAGGAAGGCTGAAGCTGGGCCTAAAGACATGAGAGAAGAACGCAGCGGTAATAGAGGGAGCGACAAGACAGTAACCAGTAGCTGGAACGCGAAGGAAAGTTCTAAAATCGTACCCGGAGGGCAGCAAGTGCCAAAAGCCCCAGATCAGGTCCGCCCAGTCCCGACGTACCAGCTCAATCGCTCCAAGGAACAGGCACAGGGCAGACACAAGGACCCAACAGTCGAGCAGCAGGATCTTCCAATGCGAGGAATTCAGCGCCAGCCTACACGGTTCGACACGACCGCCGCAAGAATTGCCCATATGGATGAATCTAAGCTAGGCGGGAAATTATCTGTGGCGATGTCGCCTGCTCTGTCCAAGGGGCCAGCCACAGGCACTAACAAGACATCGAAGCATAAAGAAGTGGTCACAGAGGCAACAGCGAATGCAATTCGAGACTTCTTGAAGCTGTATTACATGGGAACTCAGGAAGATCATGAAAGCATTGTTTCATTTCTCTACGGACCAGTCCAAGGTAAGTCCATAGGCAGGGGAAAATACTAGAAGAGACTAAAGGTGCGACAGAAAAGGAATTATACTGGTCATTGGCCGATGGCCCACCTCTGGTTTCATTGCAGAGGTTACAGAAGATGAGTTATGTTAACTTTGAAGACACTTTAAAATACGTGTTGCTCCCAAACATTCGGGTAGACAAACCTGCAGCAGCGGTTTCCAAATTTCTCTCAAGGCCTACTGCCAAGGATACAGGCAAAGGTCGGGATGACTACATGGTTATTTTCGACTGGCTTCGTAGCAAGGGTGTGAAGCGAATCTTCAATCTGTACATTGACGATAGCGAAGAGCCGTCTCACAGCGATGAGACCATTGAAAAAGCTCTTCAGGGAATCGAGGTACTCAAGGTTTGGGATTGGCAGAAGACCGATCTCAGCTCTGAGGTCATAGCCAAAGCTGCCCCGAGTGTCAGTCAAGTCAACCTCTACTGGGGCGGAAACAATGCTATCCTGCGCAGCTGGAGTGAGTCAGAGGGCCTCAATCAACTCAAAAAGCTTGACACAGTTGTGCTTTATGCTACTCAGGTGCGCATGTTTCGAGTCTAGAAAGGCTCAAACGCTGACTATTATGCAGGGTTTGGAGACACGAGCGAGAGAGAAACGAAACTTGGATGCATTTTGCGCTAGACTGAAGTACAACAGAAGCCTACTCATTGAAAGCATTGAAAGCAAGCGATCCAAAGATTCCAAGAATCAGGAATCACTCCCACCGATGATCAAAGTCCAGCGAGATGCATTGCCTTTGAAGAAAACGGAATTGGGAGAAGGACTGACGGCAGCGCAGGAGCAACATAAGGACCAACACAAGTGGCTAACGTGTATGGATGAGTTCGCAACCTTCATTCAGAACGTCGATCTGGATACTTCACGGTTGAATAGCGTTGAGCCGAGGCCAATTATGGTAGCTCTCATCGACGATGGATTAGACATCAACGAACAATCTGTGGCCGACAAAGTAATTGGAGGCCGCAGCTTCCGCAACCAAAATAATCTTAACGCGCCATACTGGGCAACTAGCGGCTTTCATGGCACCGTCATGGCGAGCCTGATCTGCAGAGTTTGTCCCAAGGTTCAGCTTTACGTTCTTCGGCTCGATGAGTATAGCGCAAAAGAGAAAGGGAAAAGGCAAATCACAGCTAAGAGCGCCGAAAAGGTATGTTTCACGCCTGTGATGATATTGCATTGCACCAATTAACTAGGTCTGCTCCCAAAGGCCGTGCGCGCAGCTATCGACCGAGGCGTAGACATTATCTCCATGTCGTGGACCATTGAGAAAACGGTTGACAATGAAGCCGATATCAAGAAGCTCGAATTTGCTCTGGATGAAGCGGCTAAGAAGAACATCCTCCTCTTCTGCTCTGCTAACGACCAAGCTACCGATGCCGATGGGAGCCACCCAGCTGCTAACCCAACACGCTTCAAGATTGGTGCCGCGACAGCATGGGGCACCGCCTGGCGCTGGACTCGGGCCTCGCATGTCGACTTCATCTTCCCTGGCGACCGGGTCATTAAAGACCGACCTGGCAATGTGCCATTCGAGAAGTGCAGCTTGGTCAGCGGCTCGAGCGTCGCGACAGCGTTGGCGGCAGGTTTGGCTGCTCTGGTACTATATTGCGTACAGTTTTCGGTCTATCATCGCGATGCGACCAACCAGCAGGGCAAGGGTGTTACGTTGGAGGATTTTGAAGCTATGAAAACGCGTGATCGCATGGCAGAAGCGTTTCATGCAATCTATACCACCAAGGACAGCGATCATAAGTATATTGAGGTTTGGAACACTTTCGAGACGGCACCAAGGGAAGGGGAGGGTAAGGACAAGGATACTAAACGTGATATACTTGTGACTGTGGCCAACAAACTGATTTCCAGAAGGAAGTTAGTTTTTAGGTCTTAAAATTCACGCCGGCTTCAGTCTTCAAACATGCATTTGTATGGAAGAAGAAGCCCGTGATTGATCAGAACCACAAAGTACAGCAAATAACAAAAAAGCAAATAACAAAAAAGCAAATAACGCGCAGCTATCCTCAGCTCCACCTATTTATACCGTCACGTAGTGTCAAGACGAGCGATATGTTTGCGACGCGATTCTTATCTGAAGTGGCGCAATAGATCCTGATGAGAGCTAGCCGGATCTAGGGATCTGACGAATGTCTGCTCATAGCTGGACGCCACAAGCTGCATGAGTTTCAGCTCGAGCTGATGCCTAATCCACTGCTCATGAGGTGCTGATAGCGGTACTTCTCTCACTCCCCTCATCCTTCCTTGGTCACGGTCCGTATTATGTGGAAGTGTGACCGAGCATAATACTGAGCGCGATAGAAACACGGGAATGGATTAGGAATCAACTTGTGAAGAACTCCTGAAACTTTAATAGAGGTAACAACAACTATGTTTGATATTAGGATATCTAGAAAGTCTGAATTGTTCACGACAACCTCCAATGCGTCTTCTAGGCCGGTTTAATGACGGTACAAATCGAGCTTATCACAGGACACTTGTTGCAATATTTGTCAATGCTTGTCTTCATCCACGCTGACGATTCGTGGTGGGCTTCCCAGAAATTCTTCTTTAATGAGGGAGAAGACATGCTGTTTGACGACTCAAGATTACCACTTAGGCACAACTATATACCACCCTTTGGAGACCTCGCTCTTGGCCGAAATCTGTCCAACGCCCAAATTCTTGCTCACGCTGGTGCGCCAAAGTACCCTTTCATATAGTGCATACAATATTCACAACGGATGCAGGCACGGATATTCGAGTCCATAGGCATTAATCTATCAACAAATATGAAAGACTATGGCTGACTTCCTTTTGGGTTCATCTCCAAAGGTGTTTTTAGGCATCACAATCACTTAGTAAGAATATAATCAAACCTCTGAGTTGAATAAGCCCGGGTATTAATCTCGAAAGTTCCTTTTTCATTATTTTAATAATGAAAGAACTCAGCAATTAGCAGTAGGGTTATGTATTACCAAGACTGTAACATTCAAGGATCTAGACTCGGTTGCTTCTTACCTTTGACGCTACTCCTCTCGTTGTCACTGACACTAAGATTATCTCTTTCACTTGTTGCAATAACCTCTCCAGCTTTATATATTCGCTCTGTTTGTAATTCCGTCAATTCCACTTGGCTCCCATAGCCGTTCTCGGCTATCGCACCTTCGATATACACCGGGCCTTTAGGCCGGCTCTTTCGCCAGGTCGAGGAGAGTTGACCACTAGTGATACCACCGTGGTGTTCCGCGTTACTACGATGGAAGAATTTGGCTGAGCGAGAGAAGGGTGGCGTTCGCGAACTGCCTTGGCCGCTGTCGGTGGCAATGCGGTGAATTTTACGAAGAAGAGGACGGAGAGAGAGACACGAGATGATCATGATGGAGATGGTATATTCGGCCATAGCGAGAATGTCTTTGTAAAACCAGGAGAATTAGTTTTCAAGGTTCTGCAATATGAAAACTTGCATCACTTACACATGGGCAGATTATTCACGACAAGATCCTGTACGGCAAAGCGCACAATGCTAGACGTGATAGTCAAGCTACCAAGCATAAACATGCAAAGCAAACCTGCCTTCTCGCGTCGATATCTGAAGTTCAGGCTCCGGATAATCGGGAGCGGTAAGAGGAATACTGTTATCGAACATCAGTGTGAATTACAAAATGTCCAAGTGTATACTTACTGAAAATCTCGGAAATGATATTAAGGGACCACGTCAGCTGGCCCAGTGGCTTTGCGCTAAAAGCAGAGCAAGCTCCCGGCTTGTCGGACCAGTTGATGGCCAAATCAGTGCCACACCAAAAGGTAATGGCGACATAGGCCGCGATGGCTGATGCTGTCACAAAAAATACCACTGCCCACAGCCCTTTGCGCATCTTGGGTGACGTCGCCGGAATGATACGTATATAGAACGCCAGCATGCTAAACTTGGGAATGAAGAGCCCGCCATCAAACAAGTACATTGTGGCGTATCGGAGCTGTACGTAGCTTTAGCACTTTGTGTGTTCTAGGATTGAATCAGGGGTAGTAGCACACGCACTTTGCGAACATATTCCGACGGTGAGATGAAGTTATTCATCTCATTTACTTTGTATGTTGCAGTGTCGCAAGCAATCAAGGCAGTGCAGTTCAAGACGGCGAGGACGAGCCACAGATCGGCTACAACCATAGACGTTGTCTTGTTTCGAATGTGCACCCCAAACCGACAACCGGCGAGAATGATACTCGTCACATACAAGCACCACTCAATGACCTTGACAGCATTAGAAATAGAAATGTGTGTGCGCTCGATACCTATGGCATGATTGAATTAAACGTACGATAGCACTGGTCTGGTCAATCGCCATGACAGATGGAGCCAGTTTGGGTTTCGATCAGGTGTCCATCAACGAGCCATTTCCACCCAAAGAGGTGGTAACGAGTGGATATTTGTAGGCTCCGTAGGAACTACTTAGGTACGCATTACTAGCAGCCACCTACTACATATGTACATTGGTGGTACCGAAAATTGACCCATTCAGAGAGCGTCGCCTTCCGGTCGTAGTACCCGCTTTCCCAGGCCGTAGTGGCTGCATTCCATGCAAGACCTACTAATTACCTAGTGTTTCGCTTCTCCAACAGTAGGTGTAGGCAGCGGCCGTACCTTTGGCTGGGCGCGAAAGCCGATTCGACGGCGGGGGAATTGAGTTCCTGGGCTACGCTATCCTAGCTTGAAGCTGCTCTACCCGGAGCACGCAAGCGCGCCCAATTATAGTGTATCGCGATGCTCGCTAGTGTGCCTAGCTGCTGTCATTTGCAGGAGACCCTATTTTACGAGTCAAGGTGTTCCAGCGGTTCCCAGCCCCTGAGACAGACAGGCATGCCAAGACGGATAGCAAGGTCGAGACTTGAAAGTCAAGGTTCAGCATTCGAGATCCCTGACTCGAGATTCAGGACATGGGATTCCGGCTCAGATTCCGGCATGATTGCCCCAAGGTGCATAGCGATCTCGAATTCTCCTCTTACAGCATAGTGCACTCTATCTCGCTACTAGAGGTGCACGCCGAGTGCCAGTAGAGTCATGCAAATGCATGACATTCGACGTGTGCATGGTGACGACAACCCCTACATAGAGAGGGAGGCGATGCCAAGGTTTCCAATCAGCCGCACGCCACGCCAAGTAGTATCCAAGCACTTGGCCTGTGGATGACTAAAGTGCAATCAGGCCCCCAGCTGCCTAAGTGTGCTGTCGCGAACGCGATAAACGATACCTGATAACCTAGCCATCCATACTGAATCCCTTCCCGCATCCAAAGCCAGAGAATTAATCCAACAGGAGAATCTAAGACGAATAGGTACATCAAGACCATGCAGCAGATCTCGCAGAACCTATCGTAGCGCATTTCACGAATAGGAGGCTCGTAGTGTCGGAAGAGGGGAAGAACAACGTTAGGCTTTTTAACCTGAGAAGGAGTCTCGCAACGCACTGCAACAAGTAAGAAGAGACGTTTGAAGACTAGTGTTGGAGCGAATAGTTTAGTCAGCTAGAATATGTTCTGATTCGCGCCGATGACAATAGCAAAGAAGATGGTGCCAAGCTTGCTGCAAAAGACTCTAAGGATCGTTCTGAACGTAACCCCGTTAGTCACGTTCGAACTTGCGGCCTTCAGGCACATACAGCCGGGATTTACCAATGCTAGTCATGTGGCCACAACAGAGTACTTGCCTTGGTCTTTGAGCCATGAATGCGCTCCGCTTCGATGACTAGCCCTAGATGAGAACTCTCCTAAGGTTCTCTAATGCTCATAATTGTTACAGAAACACTTATGTTGATTGAATGCAATTACATGTTGCAGTCCACCATTCGCTTTTGCAGCGCGGCGCACACTGAGTCTAGCAGGCCAAAGGAAAAAGCCTCGGTCAACGAGGCAAGGGTTAGGGTAAGCTTCCTTCTAGAAGTAACGAAAATCCTCTTAATGTCGTTAACTAGTTTAGTGATGCCGTAGACGAGGTCTTTCAGTTGGGAGTGATAGTAGAGCTGCGTACGCCTACTCCTCTAGCTACTCTCCCAGAAGCTCTCTGGCAGGCCTGTACACCAAGCAATATACGTACGCGAGCCTAAAGCTTAATCAACGCCAATACGTGATCAGGTTCTACAATATAAGAGCTCTTCGATAGCTTTACTTATCGCGGTAACAAATCAGCTTCAGAAGAGCTCCAAGATAGTAATGCTATTAGCTGAGCTCATCCGCTGTAAGGGGCTGCGCTCCGGGGAGCAATCGCGAGGTATACAAGAGGTTGTATTCGATAAGGAGCTATCTACTCTGCTTACGTGGTGTTTATTT